CGCCAGTCGAAGTTGTCGCTCATTTAATGACCGGCTAGCGCACTAATAACCAAGTGTCCCTGTTTAATAGTCACCTCTGGGGCTTTAACTGGGGGAAATTTGCGTGGAAATTCCGATACAAATTATGAAGTCTGTCGGGCGGATTATAGAGCTCATAAATATTAGCCGCTTTAAGGCACTTGCATAATGTAAAGTGTGATCTATATAAAAAATTAAATTTGAAAGGAAAGGGGAGTTACAGGATTTATAGTGAGAAATTAAAGCAATAGTTAAGAGTGATCGATATGCTTAATGAGAAAATTAAGATACAAAACTATAACAAGAATGAAATAATAACATTGGAAACACAATTTGCAGTTATCAAAACAATGGTGTTTTTCATTTTTATTTTTTTATAATCTTTTCTGCTTTTAATCAATAATACAACAAGATTTTAAAATCCGTTTCCGTAGTTACGATGAGCATCGAGAGTGTACGCAAATCAATTATTAATTCATATAGATATACTTCTAAGGAAAGAAGTCTACTCACATGCCAACAGTTAAATTATTTGCAAGATATATTTTGGTAAATGTCTGACATTTTCGATGCTAAAGGTTCCTTGGTCACTTTTATCTCTTAGGTCTTAGGAAGTATTCTTTTTGATAACTAACACTGTAATGTGTACATTTTCGGTTATTATAATATGATTTTTTTTTAATATTGCTTAATGCTAAAGCCTTGATAAGGATTAGGTTGTGCGTTTTAAATTAAATTTATCTACAAATGTTATAAGATAATAGTTTATAGAAATTGTTCTTAATGCAAGATCACCACCTTAATTAAGTTTTTTCTTAATCCTTATCCCAGCACCCAGTCACAAATATTATATATTACATTTAACATTATTCTTGACCAGGAAAAATAAGTTTTAAACTTTAAACGCTTTCAGATTTATTGCTTTCCTCAGTTTTAGCAAAGAGATCAGTTAACAGCAGCCCACATAAGTCAATGATAAAGGCCAATAGTTCCTGCTGGGGCTCGATGATAGCGATCTGAGGAAACCTGGCAAGTAACTTGAGGCCAAGACAACACCGAGGAACTTGTGACCCACAATTAAATGCATTTGTACGCCTGTCATTGTCATCAGTTGACAAAGAGAAATGGAGAGGAAAATGTCAAATATTTATTTTATATGAGCTTAAAGCATTTTATCGAGTCACTGGAAGTGTACGTGTATGCCGGCCCACTTGAGGCTCGCAAATAAAATAAAATATATTTTATGTGCACATGGGCAGCAGCAAGGAAATGACAAAAAAGCTTTTGCTGGTTGTCAGCTCGACCAGTCCTTTGCTCATTTCATACCACACTTCTCATCTATTGATGAACATCCTTCGAAATGAACTCCCTCTCTCCTTGGGCCTCGTCCAGGGGCAGGGTCAAGAGCGGTTGCACGAATCTATTTCTATATATTTCGGTCCGTCGTGCTGCTTGGCTTGTGACCCCTCCCAGCCTACCTCGCCGTCGCCTGCATCTTCTGTCATTTGTCCAAACTGCATCCGCAAACATAGTTTATTGGCAGTTTTTGTTGCTTAAAGTCTAAAAATACTTCTGACATATCAACATGTTCAGTTAGACAAGAGCTCTGCGCCAGTATGTTGGTCGCTCTCGGCTAGTGAGTGGGTTGCCATTTGCCATCTTAACGTTTTAAAACTGAACATTGTTGGCTGTCTTGCCGACTGTCACTCAACCGAGCAGTTTTTTGGCAAATGTTCATTTGTCCAAGTGTCTTCTCGGCTTGTATATGCCCCTGGACAAATGTCAGTGGAAGCGGAGAAGACCATGGGATCAAGATCTTGGATCTAATTATAAGTATTTTTTGAAAGCAGGTTAGATCTAAATCAAGAAAGATTCACAGCTGAACTTGGTTCACCAATTAAGTTTAGCTCCAAAAAACGTTTTTTAATCAGTATTTTAAGAATTAAATATATAATAATTAAAGCCTAAATATTAAGAATGACAGCAACTTGCCTTAATTTCAATTAGCCACGTACCGCACATGTTGGATGTGCTATGTCCTAAGTCCTGCACGACCCACGTCCACCATCCACCATCTACCATCCTGCATCCACCATCTACCATCCAGGAAGATGAGGAGTTGCCTCCGGTTCAACTGCTGCACAAACCATTTTCGGCAAATTTTGCTGCTGTCCACTTGGCTAGGGCCGAGTCGACAGCTTTCAGCCGGCATGACATATCAAAAGTATAAAATATTTTAAAAGAAATGTTTTTTCTACGGGGGACAACAACAACAACAACACAACGAAAGCAAAAACAAAAATGAAAACCTTGTGGGGGGGAGGGATGAGAAAAAAGTTTTCAATTACAACATTATAAAGATCGACAAGCTGTCTGTGGCAAATATGGCCAGGACCTGTGGAGACCGACAGGGACACACACACACACACACACACACACATCGCCACCCACTGAGCTCCGGCCGGTGGCTATGCAGGCAGAAATTATTATTTATATTCACTGCGAACGAAATTCGTGTTCGGCACATGTCTCCAAGGATTAAACACGAGTGACCGCAAAATCATCATCAAGGAGTTGAGGCAAAGTGCTGCAAACTCTCTGTGAGCGAGCATTTTACATAGTGATAGAGTCCTTGCTCCATCTACAGGGATCCACTCTCTAGCAACCAAGGGGGGACTGAAAAAAAATCAACCGTCAAATAGAAGAAGTCAGGAACTTTTTCCGTTGTTATGTCAAAAAAAATGAGAGAAGGAAAAAATAAGAACTGTGGCTGGGAAACGAAGTATGTCCGAGCTGTCAAAAGCCACTATAAACTTGTGACGTGTCAAGCGTCACAATACTCCCCGATGTCCCGATCCCCGGTGATGGTGCAGTGCATGTGAAACTTTTGAATTTATTCCTTTCCTTCCTATTTTCACCCTCCCCCCCTCCTTTTCCCTCCTAGGAAAGTATGTAATTTTTTAATAACGGTAAACGGCAACTCGTGAATGACAGCTGAGCGAACACGGAGCTGACCTCCAATAGTGGATATGCCACGTGGATGGGTGAGAAGGGGCTCGGAGGAGTACATAACTGTCAGCTTAAGTGAAAAATGTCGCACAGACGCTGACTAGGTCCTAGACATGTATTTGAAGGAAGAGCCCCGTCCGGCTCTTTTTTCCTTATTCCTGCCACTACCGGACAGTTTTTTAAACTTTTCACATCGAAATCACACATGTCCAAGCTGAAGCTGAAGCTTACCATACCTCTACTCAGCCCAATATCATCGGAATTTTCCGAGCTATTCTCGTCGGCAAAGAATGCCGAAGCTGCAGATTTTTTAATTTTTATCTTCAGAGCTAATGAATTTCAGTTAATAGTTGTGGAATATAGAACCATTATATGTGTACATATATTTCGTATATGTATAATCAATTTAAAACTAGCTGAGGCTCAAATTATTTATAGTTATAACTTAAGTAGATTACATTTCTGTAATAAACCAAATAATACATTTTCAGATTAATTTATTTATTGACATTGTTATACTTACAACACGCGCAACGAGAAAACGAGGTCATATAAATAAATTGCACTAAGATTTAAATGTTTTGAAATATATATAAAATCCATTGATTTACTTCCAGGAAAGACCAATTATTTAGATCATTGTAGTAGATATTTTGCTTTGTCATATGTTATAATAGGATCTTAATTACAAAGCCAAGGATGTTCCAAAGAGGAAGCATTTAAATATATACATATATTTAAAAGCTTGGCCATCAGAATAGAGATGTTCAGGACCAGGGCTTTTGGTTCTGACCACTAGTCCCCTAGAATCCTGACCCTTTCCCTCGTCCTGGTCCGGGCAGACTTCGCCGTTCGTCATGGCCCTCCCATGTGGTTTGTCGCCTCTTCCTTGTGTTAAATAATGATGGAAAGTAAACGTTGCAACAACTGAATGTACAAAAGGATGGATCAGGATCAGGGAAGAGGAGGACAGGCTCTGGCAAAACTTTAAGCGAATGTCCAGCATTTTTTTATTTTACCGTCCTCTGAGGATATGTGAAAGTTGAAATGCTTCAAGAGTTGAGCTTTCAAAAAGATATAAAATGTAAAAATGAAATAAAACCGTAGACTAGATGAACAAAAATACAGATAACTTTAAATAGTTGCTTGAAGTTTCTCAAATTCTTTTTTCAGCTTCTTGAAAGAAGTCAATTTTGTGTTTCTTTAGAGAAGGTTCATTGTAAAATGTGCAAAAATAACACAAATAATATGTATTTTGATGTGGTTATAGGGGCTTTAAGATTGTTTTTATTTCGATAAAAATTCTTTTTAAAGAGAATTGACAGATATCGGTAAAAATTATATATAGTTTTTAAATTTATTAACTTTCCAAATATTTTTTACTTTATTTTATAGTATTAAAAGGGATACTCTCGTACGGCATCTTAACAGGTTTTTTTGTAAGACAACTTAAAAAAATTACTTTGCATTCTTCAAGGGTAAAACAAAGTTAAGATTACGTTTGGTTAGATTTTAAAATTTGAAAGTGCTAAAATATCAAATTTGTTGTATGAAACTAAATTGGATTTTGTTTGAAATCTATCAATTTCAGGACCTGCCAAATTTATTTATTTAATAATTGCAGCTTAGATGCAGTCGGTGACATAACCACTTGGTTTTATTTGACCCCCATTCTCGTAGTCGCCTCCCCCCAGTTGGGCCATCTGTCCATGTCCCTGTCCCAGGACCTGATGTCGACGTCTTCTATCTGCCGCTCCCTCTTCCTGCCTGCTTGTCCAGTGTCCTTATTAAAGTCCTGGCGCTGCTTGCATCAACTTGGCTGGCTGCTGCTGCTGGCCATGCCAGTGTGCCAGTGCTCCTGTTGACGTTGCCAATGTTGTTATTGTTGCTGCAGCCCCACTTATCATCCCCGGTGACACTTTATAATTTCTTTACTTTTAGTGATGTCACTATTTATTTCATTTTTCCATCAAAACTTTTAAGTTTTACAATAAATTTTCAGAGGAAATACAAATAGAGTGTCCAGCAGCACACACACACTGCCTGTGGTTGCTTTCATACACACAGTGTGTACTCCGCCATGGATGGAGGAGGGATGGAGGTGGGACACTTTCTATTTTGTAAGTGATGTCCGTGCCACTGTCAGAGTTGTCTCGTGCTCCTGGCTTATTCTTTTATTTGTTGCAGCTGACACTTTTTCCTTCGCCTTTTTCCTTGGCTTTCCGATATGTCCTTAAAGGTTTGACACTCGTGGTACTGACTAAATCAGAGTAATTCAATGAGTGCTTAACGTTTAATGTTTCTAATGTATATTAACGAAGCATTTTAGATTCTTGTTTTTTACGCAGGGTTTTCTCTTATTTCATATATATTTTTCAGTTTCAAACGCATCCATAATCAAGAAAATGTATTCCAATCTCAATAAACACTGAAACGGATTTCCATTTGACAAAGGGTTTTCCTTGGCTTTGGTCCCGCCTCTGTTAACTTTTCATAAGTGTCATGGTGCAAATCATTGTAAAATGTTTACTAATTGTAATTTATCCGACTCCCATAGTCTAACATAGTTGGGGCTATGTGTGCATTGCATTTCAAAAGCTGCAAAATTCAGCTCGCCATAAAAATACACAAAGAGCGTGCAAATATTTGAGATAAAAAGCGGATTTATGCAGAGCCAAGGAAAAAATGAAGGATTAACCTGAATAAATACAAAGCAATTGTGGAAATTGTGCCAGGACCAAGAGAACCGGCTCCCCCAAAGGAATGTCATATTGAATAAGAAATTCCCAGCCGCTGAGACTGGAGGCTCTGGGGAGTTCAGCCGACCGCAATGATCTAATGCCGCCAAGACTGAGTAATAAAAATAAAAATGAAGCCACCGGATACCGGATGACAAGGGCAAAGCAAAACAATGAAAGGAATTAAAAGTGAAGAGTAAAGTGAGGGAAAAGCGAAAGTCCAGCGTTCCGACTGAGAGACATTATGTTTTCTATTGCACAAATACATTATACAATAACTAAAAATAAGGGTTTTCTAAAAGAGTACAAAAATGATTCGTAAAAATATCTTGAATTAAACTATTATACAGACCTATGTGTACATAAATAATTATGAACACTTATACATCAAGTAAATAAACAATGGTATTAGAGATATTATTAAATAATGCAATACATAATATAATAAATAAATAAAATAATATATTTATATAATCCAAATACAAGTTAAAAGTGAGTGAATTTTATATAATATATCTCGTTTTCGGTTCTTTAAACGTTTGGATGCTAGGATCATGATACCCTCTTCTTGTTTTAAAGAAAACTTGTGTTTATCTGGATGATGATGAGGCTGGATGCTCTGCTCCGATCTCGTATGACGGCCACTTCATTATGGTGGCAAATGCATAAAGTGTTGAAAAATGATTCCCTCAGCAAAGGAAAAGGCAAAAAGCTCGGCGGCAGTGGCAAGTGCATTTGACTTTTATGCTTTTTGCACAACTCCCACAGGGGACGTTTCGCAGGCGTTGAAACGAGTCCGAATTTTCACACAAAGCGCCGCAGGATTTTCCAAATGCCCGGACATAGTTTCGAAATGCGCAAAGGAGATACGCCGCGGCAAGTGGAAAGTGTTTTGGGTGCTAAGTGCGATGGACACAACAGCTGCTCCGCGCCAAGCTCGCAGTCGTCTTCATCATCAGCGCCATCACCAGCTCTGGAGCAGCGTCATCCCCCTTGGCAACGTCATCATCAGCGCCGTCGTAAATTGTTTACTGGATGCTCCCGGAAAACTTACTTCAAACAAAGTCATGTGGACACTGGGGACTGGGCGGTGGCCAAGGGTTCCAGGGAGGCCAGAACCCTTCCACCCATAATATGAGTTCTTTAAAAGTTTTACAAATGCACATGGCCGCGAGTCCAAACACCTTAAGATTAAGGCTTTAAGGGAGCTGCATGAAGCTGCAGCAAAAAGACTTCAGTTCTTTAGGTTTTTCTTTTATAGTTTATTCAAAAATCTAGAAAAAATAACAAATTTGTATTAAACGGAATACAGATGTGCATATTTGTAGTAAGTGGTTAGATTTTGTTTTTATGGGCTTAGAATTCTAATTACTTAATAAGGATTTTCAGTTCCATTTTAGTAATGGGCCTTCCAGTCAATTATAAAAGTCTAACAATATATATTTTCTGAAAATGACTTTATCTGGAGCTTTATAAAATATGGCAATCAAAATCCTAGCTTTAAAGTAATTTTTGTGTTAGGACTAAAACGTGCACATGGTTAATTAAAATATCACACATCACTTTAAATTTATCCTTTTATGTGCAACTCTCTATTTTGAATTCATTTTGATAACTTGACAAAGTTCTTAAATGCTTAGTTGTTCTTAACATACAATTTCAAAGAAAAAGAAAGACTTAAAAAATAATGTAAGTAAAGTCAGTATATTTAAAGTAATCTTAAAGTAATCTTTAAAGTAATCTTATTTATTCTTAACTAGCTGTACCCTGCCACGTTTCTCTGTGGCATATTGTGGTTAAGAGGGCACTTCTGAATACATCAATGTTCCGGCAAAATCATCTTCCTGGCATAAGGTGAAGAAGGCAGTCAGAGTTGTCGCTGGCGGATTCAGGACTCTTTCTTGCACATTTCTTTCTGTGAAATAGATACGTTGACCATTCTCCAAATGGACTGCCAAGTGAACTAAAGCTGGATAGCGTTCATGAATGGGGAACGAACAAATTCTCCATGCAACCTCGTTGCTGCTTTTGTATCTTCCAGCCTGGTATTGAGATATTTCATCGACAACTCGTACTGCATTGCTGTCCCCATTTTCTGCCTGAACACCAAAAACTGCCATATCGCTGCCTTTATTCACGTACTTGCAGATATATTTAATCGATTTCACGGAATTGCAATATTCTACGTTGATGTGCGCTTTGTATGATTTTGACAATAGTGGTGAGTATGGAACCACCCAACGATTGTCTACCTCAATATCACCAATTCTCATGTTTAAAGTTGCCGAAGTCTCTCCATCTTCAGTTGACCGTCTCCTATACAGAGGATATCCATCGTCCCCTGTTACGGTGTTGGCTGTAAATGCTCGAGGATATCGCTTGGAACACTTCCCGTCTACCATGCATGGTGAACTTCGGTTGAGGGTACCACATGGGCCATTGATCATGTTCTTGATGACAACTGCATGCAAATCTGTATCAACCTCTGCCCGTGGAATCTCAGCGCATATCACATTGTCAATTTCGTCTGGAGTAATTTTATCATACAGCCAAATCAGTATGTGCGCATGCGGCAATCCTCTCTTCTGCCATTCTACTGAATACATCCAGCACCGCTCAGATCCCAAAACTCCATGTTTCACAATGAAATCCATCAGTGACTTGAGCTTTTGTCTGAAAACACGGGCTGTGATGTCATGCCTATCCCTATACGATTGTCCAGGAAATAACAGCTGAACTATCTCGTCCCAAGCTGGATTGCATGTGAAGGTGATAAATAAGTCTGGACGGCCGTAGCAACGAACATATGCCTGGGCATCTTGAGCATATTCATGCATGTGGCTCGGACTACCTATGTATGAGGATGGCAAAATCGTGAGCTTTCCAACGTTGGTTGTATTACGGTCATTCATCACAGCATCCCGCAAATGGATATATTCCTCGGACCGAAGTTTCTTCTGATTCAATCGGAGGAACAGCAAACGTTGTTTCAATTTTTGCATACATATCGACAATGTACTGATGAAACATCTGACGACATTTCAATATATGATTGCAATCGGTCCTCCGAACCATTAACCTGTATGAGTAAATTTCATCGCGCAGCCGCGTCTCTCGTATGGAGGCCCGTTCTTCATCAGTCATATTCGTAATCTTACGTCTTTTTGCTTCTGTATTGCGAATACGACGACCCAATCTCGACTTCTTTGGTGGCATGACTTCGTTTCTTACTGAACCTGAACAAAAAATAAAATTTGTATCTCCAATTTCTTCTTTCAATATGTTTTTAATGTTTGACAGGAAATGCTTTGATTTGCTTGTAGAGGGCGCAGTAGTAGGGGCACGGGGAAACGCTAAAAATAGATATATTCGCAACCGCAGATAAGCTATCAACATCAAAAGTAGTCAATAACCGAGCTGGAACCTCAACGCATCTTCTCTAAAAATTTGGGCATAAACGGTTCAGAATTTTTTAAGTTTCTTCTTTCAATATGTTTTGAATGTTTGACAGGAAATGCTTTGATTCAGCTGGCTGCCTGTAGATGGCGCAGCAGTAGGGGCACTTGGAAACGCTAAAAAATAGATATATTCGCCACCGCAGATAAGCTATCAACATCAAAAGTAGACAATAACCGAGCTGGAACCTCAACGCATGTTCTCTAAAAATTTGGGCTTAAACGGTTCAGAACTTTTCAAGTCTATGAAGGATGTAGACACGAACAGAGCATTTTTATATATATAGATTTAAAAGCTTATTCTTAATACCAAAATCCTTTTTGCTGCTAACAAAGTTTTAAAAAATTGCTTATTTGAATTTAACACGCAATCTGGCTTTCCCAATACCTTAAGTACAATGTATTTTGTAATTAAATAACTCGACATTAGACTTATTTACCTCTATCCAGTGACTGTTAAGACTTTGGTCAGAGGTTTGCATTGGATAAAAAATTAATTATTTATAAAATACACCAACGTGGTCGTCATTCACTTTAAAAATCAATAATAATCACATTGCCGACAACATTGAGAATAATATTATAGTAGAAAGTATCACCAGGCGAGTCAATATAGACATAACCCACAGGTTGGGGGTTTGGTACTCAAAAGTTTCTGACTTTATGTTTACCCATCGTTCTTATGTGTATATCGAGTTTGAAATCTAGCTATGACTAAAATTATACCGAATATTTCTGAATTTCTGAATATTATTGAGTGGAAAACAACTTGCACGGAAAGTATTTTATTTCCACAATCAAATACGATTTGTGTGTAATTGTGGGTGTATTGTAGGGTAAATCAACACCATAATGTCGAATTTATTTATTTGACAAAATAATTCCACGACTCAGAGTCTCCACCATTTCCATCTGCACTCAAGGCAGCAGACTTGCAGAAAACCCTCGATGAAACGCATAAGTTTATCAACCATTTGAAAGAACGCAAACGGGAATATTTTCTCGAGAATAATATTCAGCGAGTGCAGAGCGAGGCCGCGATGAGGGGCGGCAAGTAATCAGTCGAAATAAACACTTGCGCCTCTAAAATAGATAAAAATATCTACACTTCAATAAACATGAAAATCATCGGCCCAACTGAAAACGAGCACAAAATGTGTTGAAAATTGCACAGGCAATGCGATCATAAAGCATTCGCCATTAATGACACCAGCCCGACAGATACATCCCATTGTCAATAACTTTTACGCCGCGCAGATTGCCCTGCCCTGCCCGTCCCTGCTCCTGCTGCTGCCGTTGCTGCCGCTGCTGCCATCACCCCATTACAAAATCAAATTCAAATTTCCCAAACGAGCAACCGCAGAATGCAGAAATGCAGCCGAACTGATGACGATGTCGGTGCAACTAGCCAGAGGGGAAATACAGGGGCCCGACTGCGCACAGTGGTTTCACAGCATTCGTTTTTACACACTCAAATAATCATTGAGATGAAATCGAGTAGATAATTATCCTTTGATTATAATCTGAGGATATTATGATAGTATTTTTTTGTGGTGTCACAAGACCCTAGTACAGTCTAAATTAATGAAAAAAATGTCCTAAAAATTCACAAGTCGTAATTCTAAGACAACCTAGTATAACTACGGTGTTGATGTTTGAGTTCGATCAGTTGTTTAAAGTTCACCGATGGAAAATATAGGAAAAAAATTGAAAATAAATATATTTGCAAAAATACAAAGCGATAATTGGATAATTTTGCATATAGTCTGTTCTCGATACACTTCTATACATATAATTAGCTAGTTTTGCCTTAATAAATATACTTAATAACGA